CAATCCTGCTGCTCATGTACTTGAATGGAGCACCTGTCCCAAAAGATAAGATTAGAACAAGTGAGTGTTTTTTTTCTCTCTTTTTGCCTAGAAATAAAAAAAAAAAAAAAATCTATTAATTTACCATCATCAAAGGTGGTCTTGACGACGCATCCAGCAGCAATGGCATTGCCTTGGACGATCTCAACGCTCTTTATGGAACTTGCGATATTGGGCAAAACTTGTTGGGAGTCGATGATCATAGCCTTGAACAGCCTCGAAGGCGAAACCTTGGTTTTCAGTTCCTGGAAAAACTTCTTGATGCCCATTCTTAAAAACAGGGAAGTTGTTTAATGCAGAACAAGGGTTGGAATTTGATGGAAAATATTTGGAAATTTTGATTGTGTTGTGGTGAAAACCAAAGGTGCCAATGGGCTTTTTATAGTCACTTCAGTGCTGGGACGAAGGTGCCAAAATTTTCAAAAAATCATCAGAGTTGGTCATGATGGATTATTATATCATTATTATTATTATTATTATTATTATTATTATTATTATTATTATTATTTTTAATGGAATCTTCCTGCAACCACTTAATTTGGTTAATTTGGTGATATAATTTACTATATCTTAAGTTTTTCAGGATAATAAGTTAACATTTTCAACCTAGAAAATGCAAAAGCATTACACAGTAATTATGTGATAATTGTGCGATTGACATTGTGCGAAAGTTTAAACTGCGAAGGCATTTGCATAACCCTTCTCACTTTCTAATGTGGATATGCAACATAATGCGGCTGACATGAGATAGTTACTGATATGTGATAGTATGTGAACCATTCGAATAATATTTTCTGAGGTGAAAAGTTAGATTTTTAGTTAGGTGGGTGAAAAATTTAATGTAATCTTCAAGTTGGGATATAAAAGAAATTTCAAATTTGCCCATTTATATCTTAGATGCCAAAAGCTTGACTTTATGCAGCATAAACATTATTAATGTAATCTTCTTTCATTTTCTCAGCTTACTTACATAATTTAATCTTCCAAAAAATGTTTATTACTAAATGCAAAACACATATAAATATAATGAGTTTCACAACTCATAAGATAGGATAAATTAGGGTGTGTATGTATATTAAAAAACTAAATCTACATGATTTATACTTAAAATCCGACTCAACTTTAACCCAACTCTATTATTATCAATATAATTAAATAATAACGACCAATCATTCTTATGTATCACATGAATTTTAATTTACTATTCATTTTTTTTTTTTTTTTTT